ACTCGAAAGAAGCGATTCACTGAAGAGACTCGTTTCAAGGAATTTATTATCAAGCCGTACAATTGTATATATATGGTTTTTTATATTCAGAAACTTTTTCCTTTGAGCAAGTTGAAACAAACGTGTAAATACATAAAATAATAATAGACTTCGTTGCTATTAATTCTTTTTGGCCATTTGATCCTCATTACGCAGTCAGCAAGAGCAGCTGTTGATAACAGTCTGCAACCTGTTAGAAATGCTTCTACTGACACAGTGCAAGTTTCTGATCCATATAAAAGAACTGACTTCACATATGTGTGTGTGTGTGTTGATAATCCAAGTCTTGTTCTTTATGTTGAGTGCAGGAGATTTCCAAACTGGTTTCAGGTTGATGAAGGCGTATCTCGCCTTTGCGATCCCAGCTTTGATTTCCTCATTCATTCCACCTGTAGTTGAAACGATGCTTCCTAGATAATTGAGGTAAGTACCCGATTTCAAATTTCTCCCATTGATAGTGATCGATGCTGTTTGTTGTCGCTGTTGGTTGGCTTTCTTTATCAACTTCGTCTTCTCTGTGTTCACCAGAAGGCCATGGCATCGCTGCTTCTTCAGCTAATTTGTTGATTTTCATCTGTAAGTTTTCAAGTTTGAGTGACACTCGAAGTGGACGGTAGACAGACAGCCATTTAGTCACTGACTGTGGAGTATTTCACTACCTAGAACTGTAAGGTTCATTAGCATGAAAGTTTACGCCTACGTAGTATAACTTGCTTAAGTTTGTTTTGAATCCGGTAGCCTGACTGATCAATGAATGAAATAATTTAATAATTCCTATTGTGACATTAAAAACACAATATTCAGCTAAAAGACTGTTTTCAACGAATCTATTATCAAGCTGTACAATCGTATATGTGTATGACTTTTTAATAAATTATATTCCGTGAGGTAATTTAAACAAAGGTGTGAATACCTAAACCAATAATAGTCTGAAATACAATTAAAATGTTTGTAATTATGATTACAGTTAAATATCACATGGTAAAACAAATAATCACATGTATAGAATGGTTCATAGGATGTGTAGATGTTGGAAGGGGGTGCATAATTATAGGGTTGGTAGAGCACTGGCTGACATGCTCGTGGTCCGGGGTTCGAGTCCCGACCGGCGCACTCCTTTACCTCTCTTAGCCGGTCAGATCCCCGACAAGAAGGGAAGGTTGGGTGTGTGAGGTTAGCAACCTCACCCCGTAAAAACACCACTGCTACTGGAACTTCAAAGCTAAAGCTTGAAGTCCCCCCCTATGTTTCACTCGGAACGCTAAGGGATAAAAAACTGGCAAATGTAAAACTTTACATAACATCATATGAAAGTTGATAGGATAGAATTCAGCGTTGCAAACATTTTTTTGATTTAGAATGACAAGTGGGCCAAGTGTAAACAAATCAAAGTGAGAATAATAATCGTAGTAATGAGGCAAAGGTAGCATAGATTGACTGAATAAACAAAAGAAATAAAAATTAATAATAATGAAAATAAATAAATAAATACATAAATGTGTCTATCTGTCTACAGCCAAGGCAGAAACCGGGATTGTACATATCTCTTTTTCCTACTAAGGTTTGGCTTAAATTCGTAAATGGCCAGCGCCTCTGCTCTCCTTGGAAGTTCGCAACGAAGAAAACGTAGCATGAATTCGATAGATGATCTTAAAAAAATCATGGTGAGGGTTGGTAGAGTGACAGAAGTCGATCAGGTGTTCTAGAATAGAGCTTCGCATCTCCTTCCCTTCTCCCTGGTTAATCATGCGGCAATATGTTCTCGTATCGGTGTGGGGAGCGTTCTGTGGCTACATATGTATATGATTGTACAGCTTGATACTGAATTTATTGGAAAGTTTCTTCACTCAGTCACTTGTTTTGATTTTGGTTTTCAGTCATACTCATTACATGAACCTCGGTGGGTGCGTACTGTGAAGAGTCCCAAACTAGGCTGACGAAACAGCTGTCCAGTAATCCCTGCCGATTTTCCAATGGTTCTCTAACCAATGTCAGCTCTTGATGAAATCCTCTAACCAATCAATCATATCCCTACAAGCCAACATTTGAATGTTTTATATTAAAAACTAAAGTTGACTGAGAATTTTGTTTTCTAACCATCCATTTGTTAATATGGTTCCATGTTAGAAAATACTCCCTCTGAATGAATCAAGTTACTATTGTGTATATGCTCTGTATATGAAGTATGATTTCAACATTGTTTCAAACATCTACTTTCATGTTATTTGTTTAACTTTTTCATGTATGTATATATTTTCAGTCTATCATTCGTTCTGGATTAATGCTCCTGGAGTCATTATGTGGTTCAGATGCATGTAAACGATCTATTGCTAATTGGTCACTTCATGATGTGACTGGTCCACAACTTATTATCGATGTATATGAAGGCCATATCAAAAATCCTATTGTTGTAAGGTATGCAGCTGGTGTAGTTGCCGCCATCACTCTACGACAACCTGATCTTGGCAAATTGCTTGTTGAAGCTGGTGTATCTGCATATCTTATTAAGGTATATTTCTTCGTTTATTAGAATTTTAAGGTATATATGTGACTATAAATATTTGGGTAAATGTTTTTGGCATTTCTTGTTGCTGTTATTGTTATTGTTAGTTTTAGTATTTGAATAATAACAAAATAGTTTGAAGAGATGTATATGTTTAATGTGTTTATTACTTTATGTGTGCTTGCCTTCATAATATGGAGAGGTTAAATTTCAAGCACCAGAATATTAACGGACAAATGACCAATCCCATTAAAAAGGCGATTTCTACGTATAACATATATTATCATATATAAGAGAAATTATGGCTAGAGAGGCACTTGGATAGATGAATGGAAATGGAGAACTCTTCGCCGATTTCTGCGCCTTCAATGAACTAGTGATTGGCGGTAGTGTATACAAACACAGGGATATCCACAAGGCTACATGGGTGTCACCAGATAGGGCGAACCAAAAACCAAATCGACTTCATCTCAATATACTGCTCAAGGAAGTGGAGACGCAGCTTACTGGACACGAAAGTAAGAAGAGGAGAAGACGTTGGCTTAGACCACTATCTCGTACAAGGGACAATCCAAATCAAATTGAAAGCTTTCAAAGAAACAGGAACTGCAGATAGACCACAAGCCAAGTTCAATATTCAAAAACTAAAGGACCAGGATACAAAGGATATCTTCACTGCAATCGTTAGGAAAAAGGTGGAGACACATATCAACACTGGCGAAGAGACCAGTGTTGAAAAGCACTGTAAGAGCCTGAAAGCGGTATGGAATCAAACCTGCATGGAAGTTCTGGGCAGAAGGAAGAGACAGGACAAATAGTGGCTCACTACGGACACATGGAGACTAACAGAAGAGAGAAGGATGGTGAAACAAAAGATTATCCAGTGCATTGACGAGCAACAAAAACAGGAGTTGACTGCAAGCTACAATACACTGAACAAAAGAGTAAAGAAGAGTCCCAGGGAAGACAAAAGAAAATATTATGAAGCTATGGCAAGTGAAGCAGAACAAGCTGCAGTGCAGGCAAAGGAGACCTCGCAACACTCTACCACGCAAGTAGGTTTCTATCGGGGAAGAGACCAACACAAATTAAGCCAGTGTAGGGTGACAATGGAAATTCAATCACCAAAGAAGTGGAGCAAAGGAAACACTGGGCTGAACACTTCAAAAGACTTCTAAATCGACCGCTACTTACAACGCGCACAATAATACCAACAACGGAAGCAGAACTACCAGTGGACATCAACCCTCCGACGAAAACAGAAATCCTGAAGGCCATTAACATGCTAAAAGCTGGAAAAGCAGCAGGACCAGACGGAATCCCCACAGAAGCATTGATAATGGACCCAGAGACATCAGAGGACTTGATGACACCACTACTGGAGAAGGTGTGGAAAGAGGGCAGGGTACCTGTGGATTGGAGACTTAAGTCAATACAAGAACTGGCGCGGTATTACGCTCCTGTCTCTCCCAACTGCTGTCTGCCGTATTAGATGGTACTACCATTGGTTGAGTAGGATTGAGGTTAGGGGTTGAGTGTTGGGTAAGGGGTGAAAGTCAATCGAAGGCGTTGTAAAGCTACATCGATTGGGATGGCCAGGACGTGCAACGCACGCCTAACCTACACCTTCCTCCACGGAGAATGTTAACTGGAATAAGATCAAATTGGAAAGTAGCTCTTGGTGGTCAAACAACAACTTGGAATCAGCCCATGAAATCTTTGACAGTTAGTTTGAGTGTAGACTCGTTGGATGAGGTCCTCGGGATTCAAAGAAAAAATTGGTGGAGACGGTTGGTGATAGTGCTCAAAAATGTCCTCAATAGCGAAGATACTTTCATTCCTTGTGATCTGTCATATCGATTAAACCCTATTGTGGTTGCATGTTACTATTCAGACTCCTTCACATTCCTGCTTATTGTCATTCTTTTGAATCTTTTCTCTCTCTTTCTGCTTCTATCCTTTGTCTTTTTTGTGTGTTACATGGAATGTGGCAGCTCGAACTGCTGCACATCTGTGCAAGCTGGTCTCTTGAAGGCATTACTAATTCTAAGTTAAAGAGTTATGTACAGTTTAAAAATACACAGAATTCTTACCTTTCGCACTTGTTATTCATCACACGGCTGGTTATAGGTTTTCTGTAGACTAAATTACATTGTGCGTCGGTGTTTAGGCGGTAGGAATGCTCATCAACCGTGCAAATGGTCTGGGGTTCGATTCCCAACCTTGCCTAGCCGTTCGTGAAGCTGGTAAAGAGGGAATGTTGGATGTGAGATTGGCAACCCCACTCTCCGTAAAAAAAAACACTACTGCCACTGAAACTTCGAAGTGGAAGCTCAAAGCCCTATATTCCACCCGAAACGTATGCAAAGGTGTAGTGAAAACCATGAACAGTTCGATATTGAACCATCAAGTGCAAACCGGCCACAAAGCCAGCCAGCGTTGAAGAATCCTTCTCTATAATCTACCGGGTGCCTAATAAATTGCCAAAAACATCGAAGCACTGCATGCTCCAAACAGCAGAGGCTATTGCAATTCACCTCAAACAACCAGTGCTCTGTGTGCAAAAGAAGCAAGTCCAGCCACTACTACTGCCCTGACTGGCCTTCAGTAGAGACTAGAAATTCATGAATTTGTAATACTGTCTTTCCTAATTTTTCTGACATTCAGTGTGTATTGTTATGTTGGTGCTACTGAGCTATAATCTATCAATATTATTGATTCGATGATATTTAAACAACATTAATGTTGTACATAACACTAATTCATTCATTCACTGTAATGTGTATTTATAACTGTAGAGCCTGATGATGAAGAGGTTATCGAAAAGGGTATTCTTTGTTCAGCATTCATGGTTTTGAAATCTCCTGTATAGTCTGTATCTGAATTGTGATAAAACCACTACTATTATTACCACTGCTGCTGTTTTTTATTGTGTCATAATAATAGTCAAATCTACTTCATTTACTTTGTTTTGTAGACTCTTGATTTGTATATGTCAAACACTACAACTGTTCGAATTGTATGCAGAGCTATACCTAATATTGTCTCAAGATCACCAGAACTACGAACTTCCTTTTTAACATTGGAATATGGTACAGGTGATACTGATCTAGAAAAATTATTGAATGTAGCCCTAAAAAACCCTTCTTGTTGTGATCAAGCTAAAGCAGCTCTTCGTGATCTAAACTGTGCAGTTGAATTTCAAGAACCTTGGAAAGGACCTCTGAAGTCTGTTGTGATGGATAGATAGTATTTGATTTTTGTTATATAAACATTTTTAATAAAATACCAATGAATTACTGACTTGATTTGTATATTTCTTTTACTGTCAAAAAAATAAATAAATGAATTGTGACTAAGTTGTTTTTCACTGAATCCTAATCTACAGTTCATTTGAATTATTTCGGTCAGGAACAGTACAACTGTTTCTGTAGGTTATTCGTTCTGTGACAGGTCACTTTTACTCATAACATCAGGAAGTCATCACTTTCTGCTGTCGCGTAGTTGTAGACTCAATAATCATACGTAGATTAAGTGTTGCTCGGGAGAAGCAAACGGGATAAAAACCAGACAGACTTCAGACCAGGAACAGGGTGTATTGATCATATCTTCGCTCTTTCACAGATTCTGGAACATAGCTATATTTACCGGCGCCCAACAACTGCCATATATCTTGACCTGAAGGTGGAATTCCACTCCGTCAGCTGAGAGGTACTATAGCAACGTTTGGTTGTGAAGGGAGTAGCGAGAAAGTTCATCGCATTTATCAAGGCACTCTCCCTACTCGAGCTCACGCCACCGTGTAAGACCTAACGGAGAGTTATCATCTTAAGTGATGACAACCAGTAGATGTCCATCAGGATACCCACTGTTCCCATTTCTGTTTATTTTCCTTATAGATGCACTAGTGAAATTAACCCTAACTGAATTCAGTGACTCAGGGATTGACTTGTTACCAGGGTACAGTCTCGTTGACTTAGAATATGTGAATGATATAGTTCTCTTAGTTAGAGACTCTGATAAAACTCGGAGTCTTCTGGCCACACTGAGCAGCAATCGTCGAATGTTTGGTATGCGGTCCACTCCTGTCAAATGTAAGATGATGCTACAGGACTGGACTACATCAATTTCTAACTTAAAAATGGAGAGTGAAGTGATAGCATATGTTGACTACTGCACTTATTCGAGAATTTTCCTCAGCCCCAACGGGCTGATTGCGGACGAAATCTCAGAACGGATATATAAGGCTTGTGTGGCATTCGCCAACCTGCATCATCTTTGGCATAGATGTGATAGCCGGATGGCTATTGTGGAAGGACGCGCGTGCTGCACGCCAGTTCGCTCCGTCCTCATTTGTGGATGTGAGACACAGCCATGGAGAGGGGAATATAGGAAACCCCTGGCTAGCTGTCTTTGATAATAGGTGTCTGCGTTCTATCTCTAGTGTTGGGTAGTATAACAGGGTGAGAAATATTGAGGTTAGGCGTCCCAGATATCCTAGCCATCGCCTTCCTCGACGGACAATGTTAGCTAACTTTGAGTCTATTTGGAAAAGAGCTGGCGGTGGTCAATTCAAAGCATGAAATCTTTAACAGTTAGTTTGAGCCAGTCTCGTGGTGAGATGTAGGCTTTCTAGATAATGTCGTCGAGATTCTAAGAACCAATGGCTGGAGATTGTTGATCAAATGACTCGAAATCGTTGTCATGGAGCGGATGCATTCACTCTTTGTCATCTTTCATATCCGCTAAACCCCCATATGTTTTTCCATGTCAGTATTCATTCTCCCTCACATTTCTGCATATTACCGTTTTCTTGAATCTCTTTTGTGAGGCATAGGGGGTATGGCAACTCGAAGTACTGCATTTCTGTACAAAGTTCTGCGTTGAAACGAGTGAGTCAGGCACACTGCTGTCCTAGGCATTAATGTTACAATATAGAATATATACATTCAGAGGACACAATATCTAATCTTTTGATTGTTCCATCCTATTTAAATAACACGCTTGGCGTGTGTAGTGTATGACAGTAATTTCGTCTCGGTGATAATAGGATGGTGCAGTAATATTAGTCAACCAAACGCTTCATAGCTCTTTCAAGCTACTCTATATTATAAGCGGAGTATCTGGATTTCGCCAATCATATATGCATGATTAACCAAAAACTGGAAGATATGCAAGTGAAAAGCAACAAGTCGGCAGAACAAGCATTAACGATAGGATTTCAGGTGAACATAGAGAAAACAGAGGTGATGAAGATTCCTGGTCAACAGCAACCGCAACAACAACAGGCAACAATCAGGATAAATGGGAGGAGTATGAAAGAAGCAACCTCCTTTACCTAAATACCTACCCACTTGGGAAGCATCGTTTCAACTACAGGCGGACGGAACGGATGAGGATATCAAAGTGAGGAACGGGAAAGCAAGACAAGCTTTCATTACTCTCAAGTCTGTGTGGAGGTCAACAGCACTCAGCATGAAAAATAACATCCAGATTTTCAACTCCAATGTGAATTCAGTGCTCCTATACGGATCAGAGACTTGGCTCGTCATGAAGAACACCTCAAACAAACTACAGACCTTCATCAACAGCTGTCTTCGCTCAATACTCCGCTCAAGATCAGATGGCCGGAAAAGATTGGCAATAATGAGGGATCTGTGGGAGCTAACCAACTCAGCAGGAACCAATTGTGCAACAGATATGCAGGAAGAAATTCAGTTGGTGGATTGGCCATACTCTGAGAAAACAAGTCATCAAGCGACATCACACGACAAGCCATCGCTCGAGTAGAACCCTACCGACTGAGAAGCGTCGAGTTGGTTGTCATTGCGAGGGTGACATGGGGAGGTCATGTGAAGAGGAGATGAAAGGATTTGGGCAGACGTGGAGCTTGGTGAAAAAGTTAGCAGAGAACCGAAATCAATGGAGACGTGCAGCTGTAACCCTATGTTCCTTTAGGAACTGAAGGAGACAATAATGATAAAAAATTATAAATTCTTAAGAATGGTGACAACAATAAGTTAATAAATGAAAGAAGAGCCGTCTGATTGCTGTTTCTTGGACACGCTTACTCCACTACTGCAGAAGGTTTAGAAAAAATGCTACCATGTGAAAAAATGCCAAAGCATAGTGACCTACACCGATGCAACAACTGGGAAGGAATAGTGCTGCTGTCTACTCCTGAATAGAATATTAATCCATATCATTTTGGAGTAACTAAAAGGTGTTGTGAGTGCAAATCTTTGACCCAAACAGGCTGGATTTAGGAAAAACAAATGATTTGCTAACCAATTTCCAGCATTATGCATCAGCTTTTTATAGAGCATACAATGCCATTATTCAACACTTCACCTCAACCTCATCCGACAACTTACTCAATCTAAGGTGCATGTTAAAAAAAATACAAACTGGGACTTATTCTATGAAAGTACATTAGATGACACAATTGCCAATATAACGGATTATCTTAAGTTCTACCTTGATATATGCTGTCCCAAACAAACACTATTCAAACGCCTCGACCGCTTCTCGTCTCTTTGTCCCAAACAACATCGCAGGCAAAAAGAAACATTATACACATCCAAAGACAAGTTAGGACTCAAAAAGATTAATGCTTAAATCAAATCTGAAATCCAAAATCTTAATGCTATCTATAACGATACAGTTTTATCATGCAAATCTCCTATCAGCATGTGGAAACTTTTTAATGAAATTACTGGCAACAGTAAGCGTCGTAATGCTTTTCCCTCTTATGATGTTAATGCTCTTAATCAGTCTTTTATACGCTGTCCTTCTACTATATCTACCTCTAATGTTACCTATCATGTAGCTGAAAACTTTCATGACTTTAATGCTCTCGATGTTCTAAAATGTCTTAAAACGCTCAAGCCCTCACGTAGCCTTGGTCCTGATGGTATACCTGCATATGTTCTAAAACAATGTGCAGATGCTTTATGTTCTCTACTAACTAACATCCTAAATGCTTCTTCCTCCAAAAATGTCATATCTGATGCATGGAAAGATATTAAAATTGCCCCTGTCCCTAAACCTAGAAACAGCAAGAACGTAAAGTTCAGACCCATTGCCATCACTTCCCCGTTTCTAAAGCTTATGGAAAAACTAGCACTTCTTAAACTTGAACCCTCCCTTAAAAACTTTGAAGATCCCAAACAATTTGCCTATAGACAGGGTAGGAGCACTTTAGACGCTGCAGCCGTCTTACACAACAGCATCGTCTCATCATTAGATAAAGGTGCCAAATACGTCCGCTGCACGTTTCTCGACTTCACCTCGGCTTTCGACTCTGTACCTAGATGTCACTTGCTAAATAAGCTCTCTATGACAAAAATTGAGTCCTGGGTCACTAACTGGTTGCATTCCTACTTCTCTAACAGAATGCAGTACACCGTATACAAAGGTAAATCCTCCTCTGCTGTACTCACTGAAGCCGGTGTCCCTCAAGGTGCTGTACTCTCCCCACTTCTCTTTTCTTTCATTCTACATGACTTACCATCCTCAAATGACATTAATTTCGTCAAATATGCTGACGACCTGACTGTATCTTTGCCTGTCAAATGCCAAAGTGACTGCTCTAAACTTAATGGCTTTCTGTCAGAAATCAGCCAGTGGTCCAAGGAAAACGGTCTTACCTTAAACCCCTCCAAATGCCAAACAGTCAATTTCACCTGTAGGCCTAAATCTGACCTAAACATACTGGTTAGCTCTCACGAGGTGTGCAACATAGATGGCACTGAAATAGAAACCAAGTCGGAAATCAAATACCTAGGCGTCATTCTATCTGCTGATCTCTCCTGGTCGTCTCATATCTTGGCGATTTCTAAGAAAATATTCCGTCTTACCTCCTACATCAAGAAGTTAAGACAATCTAGTATAACCCAACCCTTACTCCTACAATTCGTTAACTCTCGCATTCTGCCTATTATTCTCCATTGTTCCCCCTTAGTTCTTCCCGGGCTACTGAAGAAAAACTATAACATATTACGCAGGATGTTAAAGGTTGTCAGCAGGGTAAGCAACGTGCCACTCAACCAGCTTGTTAATATTCTGGTCGACAGGCACATGAACTCATGTGAAAAATGGGCCACATCCATTTTATGTAAGTCACACCACCCTCTTCACTCACAACTCTCCCCTTGCATCTCATCAGGTAGAACCAGAAGCCTATATAGAAAACTATATGTTCGCACCAGCAAGTACAAAAGCTCAACCATACCCTACTTAGCTCGTGTTCTGTGTGATAAAGAAAGCATTAGGCGTGACACCTATAAT